CAGTGTGGGTGTGACAGGGGCACTGGTACCAATACGGATGCAGAGGGCCAGTCGTACCAGTGCCAGTGCTGGTCCTGATACGGGTGTGACAGGAGCACAGACACCAATGCTGGTGCTGGTACCGGTATGGGCGTGACAAGGGCAGCGGTACCAGTATGGACGTCATGGGGACACTGACACCAGCATGAATGCGTCAGGGACATGACTGGAACTGGTGGAGGCACCATGGGGGCACCAGTACCAGTACTCATACTGGTGCTGCTGCTTGCATGACAAGGGCACCAGTACTATTTTTCTTACTGATACGGTCATGGATGCATTAGGGATGCTGATGGTGCTGGTCGTGACAGGAACACCAGTACCTGTACTTGTACTGGAACCCTTAGAGGTGCAGCAGGAGCACTGATGCTTGTACTGGTACCGTCATGGGCACGAGAGGAGCACCCATACTGGTACTCATACTATTGCCACCTTTTGCACAACAGGGGCACCTGTACAGCACTGGTATTGTACTGGTACCATTGTGGTCACTACATGGCATGGGCGTGATGGGGAGGGCGCTGGTTTTGGTGGCACTGGTAGAGCACTGGTACCAGTACCACTGTGGGATCGGTAGGGTGTGATACTGGATCTGGTACTGGTAGGACAGTGGGTGAGCCCGGGACACAGCTGCCAGCGCCAGCACAGGGGGATAGCACCAGTGGACACAGGCTTGGCTGGTCACGGCACAGCACTGGGGCCAGCAGGAACTCACTCTCTCTCACAGGGCTTTCTTCTGGCTGGTGTCACTGCTGCTCTCCTCCCTCGTCTGGTTCATCGCGGTTAAAGCAAGCGACCCCCGGGATGAGCCATTGCAGAAGGGGCTCTTGATCTTTGGGGTGATGTTCTCTGTGCTGCTGCAGGAGACTTTCCGCTTCCTCTACTACAAGCTCCTCAGGTAAGGGTATCTCCCACCCTGCTCCAGATTGTACCTCCTGGCTGTGGTGGGTACCAGATGGAGGAGTGCTAAGCATGGCACCAAGCCGCTTCATTTCTCTCTGGGAGTGCACCAGTGGTGCCTCTGTCAGTTCAGTGACCTCGAGTGGGTCTCAGGTGGTGGAGCTGAGCAGCCCTAAGGTCTGGAGGACTTGGGGCTAATGTGGCTGGTAGCATCTCCTTGAATTTGGGGATATGTGTGCTGTGGATTTGAGCTGCTCCAGGATGTGTCACATCCTCTCTGCCCTGGTGACCAGCACCTGCAGTGCTTTCACAGCTCAGAGGGATACCAGGCACTGGAAAATGCCCACTTTGCTGCATATTGGATGGAGAAGGGGTAGGGATCTGCCCTCACCTCCCGACAGGTCTTGTTCCTTTCTTAGGAATAGTTCTGTGTGAGCAGGGACAGCCTGAAGATGACTTTTGGGCTTTGTGGGGTGACACATCACTGCCAGCCCTTCTCTCAGTGTCCTGCCCAGCCCAGGGCAAAGTCTGGGTGCAGCCTCACCAGCTCATGGCCTCCCTGACTCCATCGGGCTTGTGCTGAACCCTGTCTTGCCTTTGGACAGAGCACAAACGCTATGCTGGGCAGGCAGGCAAGAGGAAGTGTCAGCATTCCTCACACCCCCACAGGCCTTCCCTGTGGGCTGGCCACTGGTTACGGGCTGGGGGAAGGGCGGGCATGAAAAAAAAAAGGGCACTGCCCGAGGCATGCAGGCAGAGGGTAGCAGAGCTCCGTGGAGCAGCCTCTCAATGCAAACCGCGAACCAGCGCATTTTGTTTGCCCTTTGAATGTCCGGTCGGTTGCAAGTGCTGCTGTCCTGCCCAGGCTGAGGAGCTGTCTGTCATCCTCCTCGCCCACCACACCTCTAGCGGATAAAAATTTTGAAGTCCACTTCTGCCAGTTTTTCTCCCCAAAGAATTTTTCTACGTCTTTGAGCTGTTCTCTGCACCCCTTTAAATTTTTTTCTCAGCTTCTAAGACTATAAATGGAGATCAGGGACACCTTCCTGGCCTGCACCTCTCAGGCCTGCACTGGGGCTGCTTTCCATGTGGGGGTGCTGCTTGCTTCACAGCCCGTGTCCTGCTCACCCTCTCCCTGCTCTGCAGGCTAGCTGACACATTGTTCTGTGGAAAATCTTCCTACATGGCCTCTCCTGTTTTTCACGTGTGTGGTTTGTCCAGTGGTTTGTCAGGACTGTTTTGTGGATGCTCTCCGTGGTGGGTGGTGCAGCTTGGTGGTGGGGAGGTTGCTATGAGAGTGCGATGGTGCAGAGTGAGACGCTAGGCCTGTGTGCTCCATCCTGGTGCTGTGCCAAGGAGGTGGCCAGCCTGTACTGGCCTCCAGCATGCTGTCTCCTTGCAGGAAGGCAATCGAAGGGCTCGTGGCCCTCAGCGAGGATGGCTGCTCCCCCATCTCCATTCAGCAAATGGCATATGGTGAGTGCTCCACAGAGCAGTGCACCCCGATCTGGAAGGTGAGCCCACACGGGGCTGTATAAACTTCCTGCTCTGGTGGGGAAAGGGAGGTTTCTCACACTGAAGCTGACTGGGGTGACCCAGTCAGCTGGGGGGCTCCAGGCCTGACAGTGTCCCTGTCCTGACAGTTGCTGGCGTGGGCTTTGGGCTCATGAGCGGCGCCTTCTCCATGATCAATCTCCTGGCAGATGCCTTAGGGCCTGGCACTGTGGGCATCCATGGGGATTCACAGCTCTACTTCCTGACCTCAGGTGAGCAACCAGCACCCTTCACTTATGTCTCTGCCCCACAATAGATGTGTCAGACCCAGAGGGCTGGAGTCTCCCCTCCATGATACCCCCTCTGTGCTGCACCCTCTACTTGTCTGAACCCTTACAGTCCCCTACCACATCTCTCTGTCCCGAATCCTGCTTTATGTCCTATGTCACCCTCCCTGCTCCTCTCTCAGATCCCTTCCACGCTCACTGTCTGTCCCAGCACCTCCTGGTCCAGCCCAGCAGTACCCCTCCTCCCCTTTCCTGCCTCCTCTCCATTCCTCCCTGAGCCTGCAGGCCAAGTCAGGGTGGGTGGTTCCTTGGTGACACCCCTCTGCTGCTCCCTGCAGCTTTTATGACCATGGTGCTGGTTTTCCTTCACACCTTCTGGGGGATCCTCTTCTTCCATGGCTGTGAGCATCGGCGCTGGTGGGAGATCACTGCCGTTGTTGTCATGCACCTTGCTGTCTCGGGGTCGGTGAGTAGCTGTGATCTGTACTGGGGGATGGCTGTGGTGCCTTCTGGTCCCCATGCTGGAGTGGCGGACCAGCCTTCAGCACTAGCGAGGCAGTTGGGTCTGGGGCACAGGCTGAATCCTGGAGGTGGTGTCCCCTGTCCCATTTTACTCGTCAAGGTGATGATGCAGCCACCCATTCTGTCCATGTCCTCTCCTGCCTGCTTACTCCTCTCCTCTCATACTTCTCTTCCCCAGACATTTTGCAACCCGCTGTACGTTGGCAGCCTGACCAGCCTTCAGCACTAGCGAGGCAGTTGGGTCTGGGGCACAGGCTGAATCCTGGAGGTGGTGTCCCCTGTCCCATTTTACTCGTCAAGGTGATGATGCAGCCACCCATTCTGTCCATGTCCTCTCCTGCCTGCTTACTCCTCTCCTCTCATACTTCTCTTCCCCAGACATTTTGCAACCCGCTGTACGTTGGCAGCCTGGTGCCCTCCTACCTGCTGATGGCCGCTGCTGCCACCTGGGCTTACCTGCTTTCTGGGGGATCTGCCCAGAACCTGCGGCGCTTCCTGCTCTGTAAGTCCTGTACCATAAAGGAGATGGGGAACACTGCGAGTCATTCTGGGTACTGAGACTGGTGCTGGGATGGGGAGAGGCTGTCCCTGGAGCTGGAACAAGGATGTCATCCTCTTGGCTACAGACTGGAGGAGAAGTTGGGGTTTAGGGCTGTGGTTGGGTTCTTGCCTCTACTGGAGGTAAGGCTAAGGGTAAGGAGTCTGATGAAAACTGATTCCTTTTCCTCTTGCTTTCTGGAGGTCTACGGAACGGAGCCAGCCCCCAGCCAGGATCCTGAGGCCCTGCAGGATGCTCCTGTCTCCAGCCACCCCCGCCCTCCCTTTCATCCTGGCGGCAAAAGCAGCCGTCACCTTCTCTGCAATATCTTTTCTCTTGGACTGGGGGACCCTGGCCAGTCCCTTCGGGGCAGGCACTGGGGTCCAGCTGCGGCAGCCAGACTACTGGTGTGGTTGGGGCTGGCTTGTTCCAATGCCCCTGTGGGAAACCCTGGAGAACAGCTCAGTTTTTGGGGACCCAGCTTTGCTGGCCCTGCTGCGAGCAGAGCCCCAGTTAGCCTGCCTGGGAAGGATGCTGCCTTGGACTGCTGAAAGCCTGAGCCCAAAGAAACCCATCGCTTCTCTGCTTGCCGCCGAAGATGTGCTGTCCCCTGTGCCTGGGCAATGTAATCCACATCACCTCCTCACTGCAGGGCGGAGGAAGTGACTTTGCAAAGCACTTCCACGCTCTGGGTTGCAGCTGACCACTGTGGTGCTACTTTCTCCACCTCTTTGACCGGCCTCACTGCCCTGGGAGCTGTGGCCCTGACATTGGACTGCAGTAGCTGCAGGGAGCTGGCATCCTGGTGCAGGGAGGACGGTGCTGGGGGATCCGAGGTGGGACTGACAGCACCCAGGATGTGAGGAGGATGGTACCCAAAGAGCCCAGTGGACGTGGAGGGTGGTGGAAAGCTTAAGAGGAGATGCAACCGCACAGCTTATGCTGGCACATCTTGGGGAGAAGGGGGTTCAAGGGACCATTGCAGTGGATCATTGCCCTTTGCTGCACTTGAAGGGGGATTTTCAGGCAGGCACCAGCCCCTGTGCCATAGCACTGGGAGGGAGAAGCTGCCATTGAGCTCAGGGCTGAGAAGGCAGTTTTATCCACAGTGGGCTTTTATACCAATAAAAAGCTGTATCACAGACAAGCAGGCCTCTGTGTGGCCAGTGGCACAGCCCTCATGGGACCCTGCAGCAGCAGTGGGTTCTGCTGGTGTGACTCGAGTGGGAGAGAAATGTCTTGACAGCTGCAGACCCGCTGCCTGGATGTCTTGCTCAGTTCATCCAAATAGTGAGTGGGCTCTAGTTTTAGTGCTTTGGGGTGGAGGCTGCTGAGAGCTGGAGACCCGCAGGTTCCTCCTGTCTCCTGGACCTGGCCTGTTTCTCTTGGTTTTGGCGTGGCTGTAGAGCTCCCTGGGACTTGGCTCCAGCTGCATTGGAGCCACCAGGAAAGGTGGTAGGCCGCCATGGATCTGGGACTGCTCCAGCTACCATGGAGGGGAGCTGGGTGGGGCCTGGCCGGCAAGGAAGCAGTGGCCCTGCCACCTTCAGCTCGGCCTTTCTCCAGCCCTACCATGCTGTGGCTGTTTTTCCAACAGTTTGCACAAATAAGAGGAGGAAGAAGTCCTGGAGCGATGGAGGGCAGGGCTGGGCTGTGCAAAGAGCCCTGTGCTGCTTGCTCTGGAGCTCTGCCCGGGGCATGGAGGCTGATGCTATCTCTGCTGGTTGGGAAGGGGTCTGTGTGCACCTCTCTACCACAGGTCCAGCTCCAACAGTGCTCTTTCCTGCCCCACAGCTTCATACAAGGACAGCAGAAAGGGCTAGCGCCACGGGAGGCTTTTACTTTTTATTTATTTTTTTTTTTAATATGTTTTAACCTTTTTTTATAACAAAAATATGTGCTGGGGCCAGGTGCTGCCCCAGGCAAACAATCTGTGTGGGCAGCTCCTGCAGCCGAGGGATGCTGGAGTGTTATCCCTCCCTCGGTCCAGGGTGGGAGTGAGGGAAGGTGGGGTGGCTGGATGAACGGTTGGAGCTGTGACTGCTGCAGAGGCACGGAGCTCAGACGGTGTTTTCGGTCGTGGCTGCTGTGTAGATGACCTTCAATTTAGTTGGTGAGTCCAGTCTGGTGGGGTGAGAAAGGGAAGAGTGTTAGAGCAGACAGCAGAGCCCTTTCTAACCCACCTTGCTGCCCAACAGGCCACCCTTAATCCTCCTCTTTGTACCCCGGATTTGCGCTATCCCCTGGGCCCCCTCCTTCTGCAGCTCCCCATTGCTCACCGTGCATTCTGGCTGCGGTGCTTGTAGATGTACAGCAGGAAGGCCAGCGCTGTGACAGCAAAGAGCACCCCAAAGAGCACAGCCAGCACATCACCTGCAAGCGGAGCACAGGCATGTTACACTAAGGCTGATGGCCTGTGGCCACTGGAAAAAAAACTGGAGCAGGCTAGTAGCCTGAAGGTGGGGGGAGACATGAAGGCAGCAGACTCGGCTGAGCACGCTTACCCGCATGAAATGAAGAGCTGGAGTGTCCTGCGAAGGAGATGAAGGCGAGAGGGTAAGAGCCAGCTGCACACATGCTAGGGTAGCCCTGCAAACCTCCCCAGCTCAGTACATGGCTGCCAGCACCCTCCTTCCCAGGTAGGTACATCCCCCCCAGACACCTTCCCCTCCTTCGGGCCAGCCCCTCACCTACCTTCTTCTGCTGAGTTATCATTACCTGGAAGAGAGACAGAGCAGTCAAGAGGGTGCCTGAGGTGTTTCAGTAGGAAAGTGTCAAGCCTGTCAAAGCAGGGCTGCCCTCAAGACCCGGTCACTTGCAAGTATTATGCAGGGGAAGCTGCCTGCCCAATCCCCACCAGCTCATTGGAGGAAGCCTAGTCCTGACAAACTGTCAAAAGCATCGAGGGAAGGTGGGTAAGGGAAAAAAAAAAGATTCCTGAACCACATGAAAGTCTCACTGAACCCAGCCAGAAACTCCCCCATTGCTGCTGTCGCTGCCCCGAGAAGGCTGCGGGCAGGGGGCCAAGTGGTGCAGCACCCCATGACTGCACCGAACCCCACAGGTGACCCCAGAGCAGGGCATGGAGTGAGCCCAGCAACTGTGGGGGCAGTTGTCTGCAGTGAGGTGTTGAGCAGGAGGAGGCAGGTGGCTGTTGCTCACAGGGCACCCAGCAGAGGGATGGCTTGGTGGCCCGACATGCTGCCTGGGAGCTGTGCCGGGCAAATATTTACCTGCCGCGACAGCATGGCTTTTAAACAGCTGCATTATCATCTGTACACGGTATCGAGCGCAGAGTGGCACTATCTTCAAGCCATATCCAGCTGCATGGTGGCTTGCAGGGAAGCCATTGGCTTTGTCCAGCAGCCGGGGACAGGAGCGGCTCTACTAAACTGGGGGGGTGACTGAGGAAAGATCAACAAGCGTGGGTGCAGGAGGTGCAGCTGCAAGCGAAGCGAGACATGACCCCACAGCACTCTTATCTCGGTGCTCAGCAGCCCCAGGCAGTTATCAGCACCAAGGTGGGGAGTAAAACCCCAACAACTCTGTACACGCAAGGTGGAGGACCAGTAACCTCATCCGGGAGTGCTGGGACAGTGCCCTGGCACTCCAGGAACAAGGGCTTTGTGCCTTTGTTAAAGTGGGGGTTGCTGGATAGAAATAGCAAATAAGGAAAGTAAAAAAAAAACCAACAAGCTGAGCTGGGCAACTCCCCCCCTCCTCGCCCCAGCCTTAATGACTGGAGGCTTTGGAACAGCTTCTGCAAGAAAATGGCAAGAAAAAGGCTTGAAGGTAAATGGAAAATATGATAAAATATCTAACAGGTTTACCAAAGATAGAGCATGCCAGCCTAACCTGATATCCTTCTTTGATAAGGGATATTCTAGACAAAGCAAATGCAGTAGATTTTATCTCTCCCAACTTCAGTGAAGCATTTGATGTGGTGCCACATGGGAAACTGCTAGCCAAGCTGAAGACCACGTCCATTAAAAAGCCTGCAGCTGTTAGTGAGCTGGGTGCAGGTGGGACAGTGAAGGGAAGTGCTTTGCACCGTGGTGTGTGGTTACCCAGGCATTACCTAAGCGCATGGGACCAAGCCCGTGTGCTGCTTCTATTAGTCACCTTGACACAAGGTGTAGGAAATGCCACCAAAACAGGAAAGGAACAGGATATTGGACAGAAAAAACTCAGTGACCTGAGAGCAGCAACAGGCAAGTATTCAGTGATGCCAAGCGATAGTCACACCTGAGTATTAACAGGAATTTCTACTTGTTGCTGGAAACCACCAATGTAAGTGAGGCCTTCAAGGATGAACTGCGGATGGGCAGAGAGGGATGCCGCAGGCAGGGGACTGTGCACCCAGGGAGGATGGTTGTGTTGCCCCACTGGAAAGGCATAGGCTTCAGGAGGGGTGCCCTGCACTGCCTATCCCACAGGCTTTGGTGGTGGGGTGCTCACTGCAAGACCAGACAGATTGACTGCACATTGCAGATGTGACTGAATTTAGCTATTGCATTTGGGGATGAAGAAGCGAACTGGGATGCTAGGACCTCATTGTTTGCCCTTGGCCACACATCCCCTAGTCCTATTACTATTATTTCTGCAAGACCAAGGATAATGTAGTCCCTAGGAACCTATCTTCCCCAGACTGGGTGAGAAGCACAGAAATCAGGGAAAACAGGACCCCAAGACCGATGCTGCCATAAGTCACCTGCCGGGCTACCTCATGCAAATTCTGCATTTCCATCAGAAACATGAAGCCTTGACTCCTTCTCACCCCACCGCTGCATCCCTGCGGCTGAGTGCAGCCTGAGCACACTCACACGCTCCTTACCAGCAGGCAGTTGCTTTGTTAAAAGGAGGGTGGTCTGGAAACTTGCCAGCACTTGTCGCCCGTTCAGGTTCTGCACCGGTCGGTAATTGTTCTGCAGAGCTTTGTTGTCGTCGTTTCTCAGGCTCATCTCCAGCATTGACATCTGGAAGGAGAACAGTGTGATCACAGTGGGGTGCGTCCCGCATTGGGGAATGAGGTGAGCCCCAGGGGTGCTTGCAGGGAGAGGCTGGGCAAGACCCAGCACAGAACTCATTGCCCTGACGGACCTGGTTATGAGAGAGCAGCATGGTCTGGTTGAAGACGGTCCACTTCACCGACTCATAGCAGGGAGGGGTGGTCAGAGAGCCATTGTAGTGGAAGTAGAGTTTTAGGTTTTCAGGCAGCAGACCTGCAATGTTGAATCCGGACACGAGGACTTCCTCGCCTGGGAGAAGAAACATCATGGGAGTGAGAGACTGGGGCAGACCTCTGAGGACAAGAGGCTGGTCCACTATGGAGATCATACGCAGCCTGGCATTGCATGTGCCAGGGTCCACTCTGCTGTGGCTGGAGAAAGAGCAGTGGGTTTGCCATGGAGGCAGGGGAAAGCACATGGGAGCAGAGGGCACGTTGGACAGCTGTTTCTGCACAAGTTGTGCAATGCTCCCCTTCTCACAAAGATATGGCAAACTCCTGGGGTTGCCTCTCTCTGCCAGGCTGCAGCCCCTGAGACACTGAGTGCTAGGTGGGACAGGGCCTTACCTTCTCTTTGGATGTCTTGCAGATGCTCAAGTATTTCCTGATAGTATAGGTTCTCCCTCGGCCCAACCTGCAACACAGAGACCCCATGGTAGTGAAAAGGACAAGGGCCAAATGGAGACTGGGTGGTGGTGGCAGTGTCAGCAAGGAAATACCACGCCCTGTGAGAGGTACCCTATTCCAGTCACTCCTTCTTCCTATCAGGGCTGCTCTGCCCTCTGGACCACCCTCTCTCTTCTCCCCAGGAACTTCTGCACCTTTGCCAGTTTTCCAAAACTGTGCCTGAGTCTGCCCACCCCTGTCAAAGAATCATAGAATATTTTGAGTTGAAAGGGACCTTTAAAGGTCATCTAATCCAACCATGCCGCAGTAGTAGGGACATTTTAAACTAGATTAGGCTGCTCAGAGCCCCATCCAACCTGATCTTGAATGTTTCCTGGGATGGGGCATCTATTACTTTTCTGGGCAACCTGTGCCAGTGTTTCACCATCCTCAATGTAAAAATTTCTTCCTTCTATCTAGTCTATATCTACCCTCTTTTAGTTTAAAAGCATTATCCTTTATTCTGTTGGAGCATGCTCTGCTAAAAAGACTGTCTTCATCTTTCTTATAGGCCCCTACTTTGAGTATTGGAAGGCCACTATAAGGTCTCCCTGGAGACTTCCTTCTCTTCTCCAAGCCCGCTAAATCTCTAAGCCTTTCTTCATAGGAGGTGTTCTATCTCTCTGATCATCTTCATGGCCTCCTCTGGACCCATTCTGACAGGTCCACATCTTTCCTGTGCTGAGAAGTCCAGAACTGAACATAGTAATGCAGGTGGCGTCTCACGAGAGCAGAGGAGGAGAATCAGCTCCATTGACCTGCTAGCCACGTTTCTTTTGATGCAGCTCAGGATGTGATTGGCTTCCTGGGCTGCAAGCACACATTGCTGCCTCATGTTCAGATCTTCATTCCCCAACACCCCCAAATCTGTCTCTGCAGGGCTGCTCTCAATCCACTCATCTCCCAGCCTGTGTTTGTGCTTGGGATTGCCCTGACCCAGGTGCAGCACCTTGCACTTGGCCTTGTTGAACCTCATGAGGTTGGCACAGGCCCACCTCTCCAGCCTGTCCAGGTCCCTCTGGAGGATATCCCTTCCCTCCAGTGTGTTGACTGCTCCACACAGCTTGGTGTCATTGGCAAAGTTGCTGAGGGTGCACTCAGTTGCACTGTCTATGACATTGATGAAGATACTGAACAGCACTAGTCCCAGTACGGACCCCTGATTGACAACACTTGTCCCTAGTCTCCATCTAGACATTGAGCTGTTGGCCACTACCCACGGGATGTGACCATCCAACCAATTCCTCACTCATTGAACAGCCCACCCATCAAATCTGTATCTCTTCAGTTTAGAGAGAAGTCCCAACCTTCCCCTGCTCCTGCTCCCTCTCATGTTGGGCTGACCTATTGAGACTCACCTCCAGGAATGCTCCCAGTACAGCCAGCCCATCTGGGTTGACCATTGCCTGCTGAAAGCTTTCATACTTGGTGTTGTAGTGGACTACATGGATCTGGAAAGGAAACAGGCAGTTCTGATGCAGGATGGGCACCTCTGGGTGGTGCTCACCCCCACGGGTCTCCAGCCTGCAAGTGCAATTGCTGGGAGAGACATGCACCCGTGACCATCACCCTTTCTAGGAACGGAATAGGTTGGTGGGACTGAGAAAACCTGCTGCTGCAAAGCAGCAAGCGTGAAGGTCTGCCAGCTGGAACTTCACTGGTCAGGGACAGCAAACCAGCACTCTGCCCTAGATACCAGGGCGGTCATACTGCAGAGCTAGGCTCAGTTTGAGGACAGCAGCTAGAGAAGGAGGGATAAAACCAGATGGGAGCTGGCGGAGCAGGAGGACAGTGTGTACAGAGCAAACAGTCCCTGCAGCTCCTAAAGCAGGCTGCTCACAGCCGCCCAGGGAGCTGGTTCCTCCAGTCTGGAGACAACTACAGCTCCTGCTCTATCAGTCCAGGTCTAGACTGCAGCATGAGGACAAGTTCAGGCTCAGCCAGCCCCAGCCCCAGCCCACCTACGGGCAGAATGTCCAGGAACATGGTCACATTCTCCCCTCTGTACCGCAGGCTGTGGCATGAGTCTGGTTCAGCACCAAAGTGTGGCCTCCTGCACCGAAATCTGGTACTGCAGGGCCACCTGGGGGAGCAGGGATCCTGGCCAGGGGCTACAGCATTCATCCAGTGATGACCATGGGATAGGAGAAGCACAACGCTCCAGCACTGCCCAGCATCCACCACCTCAAGGTCTCCTCACCTCCGCAGCAAAGCGGTGCCCGTTGACAGTGTGCTCTGAACCAGGTCCCCGTGGGGAGCCCCAGTGCAGGTGCAGCTGGACAGCTTGGTACTGCTGGGCATAGCCACCTGTGATGGCCAGTGACTTGGGCAGCTCGAGGACAACTGCAGAGGCAGAAGGAAGAGGTCAGTCAGTAAAACACAAAGCCCAGTTCCATCCCATGGATAGGCAGAGGAGATGGCTCAAGGGAAAGGGTAATCCTGGGCTTGAGGAAGTTGGTCGTGACAAAGAAATTCAGTTTCCATCTCTTATGAGGCTATGCACAAGTCAATAGTCAGAGCTGTGCCAATGAGACAGGGTCCAGCTTCCAACTTCAGGCTGTAGAACACTCCGGTAAATGCATCAACTTCTAAAATAGCTGCTACGAAAATGCTGGAAAGTGAAAAGCCCCGCTGCAGAGACTTTCAAGGGCCAATTCCAAGTCAAATGTTATCCAATAATTAATTCAGTAAGTGAGAATAATATAAAGAGACCGTGAAGAAAATTCATGAAGAAAGGTATTGGCAGAGTGGTGAATACCTATGAGAGGAGGGTGGTGGGACAGAGAGAGCTGCAGCACTTGGTGAGCTTGGACCTGTCCAATAAAGCAGCCTGCAAGTGTCTGACGATGCTGAAACTGGTGGCACAGAAGCATTAAAACTTTTGAAAGAATGTAGAACTACAATTCTGCCTCTTTGGGTACAGTAAATACATTCTTAGTTTTGCCTTTTACTTTAATGTAGTTTAGCAACTATAGTTGCTAAACTGGGACTCAACTCAAGTTGCTATCTTGGACTCACACAGCAATGTAGCCAATCTATAAGCTGAGACATGCAGAAAAAATACCAGGAGCATCCTTGGACCCTGAGAAAGGCTGTCCTATGCTTCTAAGCCCCTTTTCTTCACTTTAAATGTCAGTCTTGTCCTTCCTCCTTTATAGGTGAAGTGTCTCTTAGTCACATCACCAAGCTAGGGCACAGATTTGAGGTTAACCATGTAACAAAGCTGTGATGAGTCATTTGTCCTCTCCCATATTCCCTGCCACTGGGTTCAGAGATAGAAAACTCAAATACAGGAAGTAGGAGACTGCTCCCTTCCTGGGAATTTATACAAAAGTAATGTAAAAGCAGATATCTAAATCACTGTATTCCTTCTACTGGATACCTGAGTCATTTTCAGGCCCTTGAAAAAAAGATTATACAGCATATGCACTCTATATTACAAAAGGAGTAACTCTACAAATATCTCACTGGACTTGCAACTTTTTTATTTGTTTATGGCTTTTCATAAAACAGACCAGTAGTTGCCAGAATAAAAAAAAAAAAAAAAAGCATGTTATGAGCATGTGAGAAACTACTTTCCTCCCTCCTGTCCAATACCCCAATGAAAATGCTCTGACTGCTTTTCTAAACACCAAGCAACACCAGATGCCAAGGTGTCTAAAATAGCAACTACTGAGCTCAACTGGTTTAACTCTGCAGGCATGGTAGGGCAGGAGGCCATAACATAAAACTCTCTGCATGCACCACACGGCTGATCTGACCATGTACAGCGAGTCTGACCTGCTGAGTTTGCTGGATACACAGGTCAGCTCCATCTTGCCAGCTATCAGGGCAAGAGGTTGCCTTACTACAGCATCAGCAAGTTTTCACGTCCCTTTCTCCACCACCTTTTCTTAGCTCAAGAATGGGCAGACACTAACGTGCACAAAACACTCGGCCCACTCGCAGAAAAAGCTGGTAGTGACGAGGACCCACCATCCCCAACTGTGCGGATGTACAGGAAGGAGATGTGCTTTTCCTCCATATATGGCATGGTAAGACTGATTGGTACTGAAAAATGGTAAGTTTTATCCAGATTTTAAAAAAAAAAAAATTTCTAAAGTTGGAGAAGGGAAATAAAAGACCTACAAAAATTTCTTAATATCTTGAGACAGCATGCTGTAGCACAGACTTACAGAAGCTGGCCAACATCATGTCTTAAAGAAGTGAGGTGTATGTACCTTAAAGACTAAGTCACATCAGAAACTTACTGGTCCTTTGAAAGTGAAATGCAGGGCAGGAACCAGTGGCTGCAAACCTGCATTAGAAATACAACAAACATTTTTAAAGGAAGTGCAGGTTTTAACAGATTCCCAGAACCAGTTCACAAGGGCAGAGATTAGCAATTTCTCCATCTCCTGGTTTCTCCCCTTCAACCAGAAAATCACATGAACCTGTAAAGGATCAACAGCCCCATGCTTCTCTTTTGGCCTTGAAGGCAACATGCAAGAGAATCCCCTTCCCAAAGCCCAGGAGAAGGGTGTCAGAGAGGCTGATCCTGCCAGGAGAGGCTGAGCAGGCTCTGCCCGTGCTCCAGCCTCTGCCTGTGCCTTGAGACCCACCTGTGTGCCCGTTGTTCCTCAGCTTGAGCTTCTCGTTGGCAGGCAGGCTGTAGCCAGAGAGCTGGATTGGCCGCAGCTGTGGGCTGAAGATGGTCTTGGATGTGTCAATGTTGATGGGTGACTGCATGGTTCTCTTACAGTCCGGGTGGCCCACGCCCCAGTGCTGCAGGTCTGGTACGAGGAGGAAGTGATGGATTGCCAGTAAGACCACCTGGGCAAGTTGCCCACCAGAATGGGGTTTTGGTGGGTGGTGGGGAAGGGGGCATGCACGGGCCAGGGAAGGAGCCATGCATGTAAGGTTAGTTTCCATCAGATTAGCTCGGGAGCAGCTCTATGCCACCATGTGACTGCATGCAGCTGTGTCAGGAAAGGTCTCAGAGCATGAGGAGCTGCCAGGGAAGTCTATTTTGGGGTGTTTGGGAAGCGCGTGAGAAGATCATTTACAAGTGAACTTGGCAAGCCAAGGAGCTGCTGCTCTGCAGTTCATCACACTCTTGCTGCCTTGCGCAGCCTGGCCTCTGGCAGGTATTGAGCCACCACTTTGCCTCTGCTGCTGCTCCAGCGAGGTCCCACGGTGTGGCTGAGTTCATAGAATCCCACAGCCACAGGTCTGATGGGTCCCTGGCTGTTGACTGCACTGGTGGGCCCTGTGGAGGGCCAGCTCACATGGCTCGCGTGGCTGGTTAAATTGGCACTTCTTTGGGATAAGTGCAGCCGATGACCCAGAAAGTTCCTCTTGCACTGCAGAAGGCTGCTTCTAGCACATCCTGGGCCAGTGCAAACCCAGGCTTGTCCCCAGCCCCTCGCAGGACCCCCGTAAAGATGGAGCCACCCATTAGCAGGTCCAAGCCAGCTCCTGGTCCCAAGCACAGTAATGGTGCTGGGGTCCACCACCAGAAGGGGTGCATTTTTGCTAGCCCTACAGTGATGGAGAAGCCTCCACTAAGCCATGATGGAAGGGAAGGACCAGGCAGGATGGGGAGGGAAAGTGACAGAGGTGAGGACACAAGGCAATGCCCTGACAGGTCAAAGTACCAGCACGGGCTGCGTGTCCAGCCTTGAGAGCCCAACCTGCTTTCTCGCTTGGCACGGGCTCAGTGGGGTTCCCATTCAAGCAGGGGATATCCCCAGCACACCCTGGGGAAACCCTTGGTGGAGCCACTGCTTCCTGCTCAAATCAGAGCAACCCCCGGCTCTTCAGCCCATCTGTGCCCAGGTTTGGGCACTGCTGAAACGCCTGGGTCAGGCAGGAGGGAAGGGTGAGCGGTGGAGTGCACACAGGAGCCCTGTAATCATTAACCACAGCTGGCTTACATCCAGGGTGGTGGAAAAAAAAGCAAGAGTAACTGCATGGTATTTACCTTCATAGCTCCAGTGACTGTGGCCAGGACCTTGAAAAAAAAAAAAAGAAAGAAAAAAAAAAAAGAGAGAGAAAAAAATCCACGTGAATGGAAGGGAAAGGTTGGCAGCAAACACACCTCGGTCAGCCAGCACTCCCAGCCCCGGGAACAGGTCTCTGGGCTCCCACTGCCTTCAATCCCCCATCCCTGCCTTCACTTTCTGATGGTCATCCCTTGCCCCAGCCCAGGGGGATGCCCTAGGGGGCATTGCCTCCCCTGAGCAGGGCCAGGTCTCCTGCAGTTGTCAGAAAGAGGGAAAACCCCAGGGTCTGAGGCTTTGTTATCATCCTTAATGGAAAAATATCAGAGATATTGGCTTCCATCACTAAGCAGCTGTACCAGTGCTCCTGCAGCTACTTTGGAGGAGCCAAAACCTTTCATGTCCCAAGATAAAGCACTTAGCAAGGCAGGTCTGCAGCTTCCCTGCTCTGGCTCTATAAGCAAGAGTAGCCAGGGAAGTGGCTGTCCTGGTGGCACTCCTATCATGATAAAGCACTGGAGGTGATTTGGAAAGGGAGTTGCATAGCACCATGCAGTTGCCCTCCTCCCACCTGAGAAAATAGCCCTGGGACTCACAGCAGAGGAAGCAAAAGAGCACCAAAACATTGTCCTCCTCATCAGTGAGTGTCAGCAGACTGCCACAGGAAAACGTGCCAGACCAAACACTCTGCTCCTGTATGGGCAGCCCTTTGCCCCAGCTCGCCCAACCACCCCAGTTCTGCAGAGCTGCAAAAGGGTCTTACCCTGCACAAACCCTTTTTCCCTAGGAAAAGAAGGAGTGAGGATGTGGGAGCCTGTGCCAGGACCTCCGCCTGTCCCCTGTCAGCCATGGAGCACACAGTGGCCATGGCAGGGGAGGGTGTGGCCCGGGGGGCCCCG